CATAGACCAACTTCTCCATCATGCACAGATTCAGCCTAGGTCCTCCACACCTGTCACTCATTCTTCTCACGAACTCTGACACCCCTCTCAATCTCCTCCAACTCTGTCACCTTTTTCTTTTTAAGAACTCACCACTCCTCTACAGCTCTTCCACCCATGACACCTATTCTTCCTCAAATCAAACAATCAGATCGAGATTAGGAGAAAGCATTCGAAACGGGCCCACTCAGGGTTGAAAAAACTTTTGCAGACGGATGGCTAGATACGTAACCAGTAAAACTGCATAATTTTTGGAACGTTGAATAATGTATTTTCTTCGTTCGTTGCGAACCAGCAGAATGAAGTTTCACCTATTTTTTCAACTCGACGTTGCACTTGCATTGAAACTAGGAAGAGGTCAGCGCAGCAATTATGTGAGGTCATGCCGCAGGCAGGCCGCCGATGATACTAGGTGATCCCACCTTTTTCTACAGTATTCCTACTGCTACCTCAACACATACCGTTCCAGCTAAAGATACTCATCTCAAATTACGTGACCCTCTTAATGCTCCTTGCTAGATCTTATCAAACGGTATTACTTTCTGTCACCCACCAACGATGTTCCCGTCCAGTTAGTTCTCCAAATTCAAGTTGGAGTCATTTTTTGCTTGCCGCTTATGCTCGGACCGGCGCCAGAAACTCCGGGAACTTCCCTTTCCAAGTCCTCTTATCAGATCCTATCAACCGCCCTCCTTGCTGCCACCCTCCAGTAATGTCAGTGCCCAGTCTCTCGAATCACATACTGGAATTAACTTACCACTTCTGCTGAGACGGTCGCCATAAACACCGCCTTCCTTACTTATGCCTTTTTATCGGATCTTATCAACCAGCACCACATCCTGCTACACACCTGTAGTTCCTGCCCGATGTCCTAGGCCTGTTTTTAAAACCAATGCCTCACTGTTACTCGGAAGCGCACTAGGAATCCGCTCACACCGTGAAGCATTTTGATGACTGACATAAATACCATTTTCACTTTAAGTTCACCACTTTTCAAACGAGATTCACCACTTTTTCAACCAAATTCACCACTTCTCAAACCAAATTCACCACTTTTCAAATTAAATTCACCACTCTTTTTAGACCGAGCAGTTCACCAACCAGATAACGCCAGACACCACTGCGAGTCCCACCCCGACGGCCACGCCCACTTGTGAGCGCGGACATAGATTTTCAACACATCGACACATGGCTCACTCTGCCCATTCTTTGATGGGTTTGTTGCGAACCTCGAAATTTCATAACTTTTTAATTTCCCATCCCCTCTTTGCACTACGAAAATACTCGTACCCATGCAGTTATGCACTGGCAATTTAGGCTCCGCCTACTTAGCCAGGCCCACTTGCTTTTTGCGGAATTTTCATATCTCTTCAAGATTTTTGCTTTCTTGGACTGCTACGTGCAGCTCCGCCCACTGTGAGAGGCTCCGCCCTCTTTCAAAAATGCTGCAAATCGGCTGTAGAGTCTTGGCTTGCATGCTAGGGTCTCGTCCGTCACTCGGAAGAAACTTTGCTTGGTTTCCTTGTTCCGAGTGACGAACGAGACCCTAGCATGCAAGCCAAGACCCTATACTGCCGAGTTGCACCATTTTTGAAAAGTGGGCGGGGTTCTCCAAAGAGGGCGGAGCCTCTCACAGTGGGCGAGGCTGCACGTAGCAGTACAAAAAAGCAAAAATCTCGAAGGGATATCAAAATTCCGCAAAAAGCAAGTGGGCCTGGCTAAATAGGCGGAGCCCAAATTGCCAGCGCATAACTGCATGGGCACGAGTATTTTCGTTGTGCAAATAGGGAACGGGAAATTAAAAATTGTGAAATTTCGAGGGCAAAAAATCCTTCAAAGAATGGGCGGAGTCGGCCATGTGTCGACGTGCTAAAAAACGCGGCACGGCGTATCCTGCGGAGGCCTGTTGAGGGTGCCGATCCCATTGGAGAGTCAAAAATTCGCCCCTGTCCACGACCTTTCCCGTCCTCAATGGAGGGCTAGTGTACGGCATGTCCTGCGGAGGCCTGTGGATGGTCCCGATCTCCTTGGAGGGTCAAAAATTCGCCTCCCTCCATGCTTTTCTCCCTCTTGGACGGCTAGTGCACGGCGTATCCTGCGGAGGCCTGTGGAGGGTGCCGGTCCCATTGGAGAGTCAAAAATTCGCCCCTATCCGCAACCTTCCCCGTCCTCAATGGAGGAGTGTACGGCGTATCCTGCGGAGGCCTGTGGAGGGTGCCGGTCCCCTTGGAGAGTCAAAAATTCGCCCCTATCCGCAACCTTCCCCGTCCTCAATGGAGGAGTGTACGGCGTATCCTGCGGAGGCCTGTGGAGGGGGCCGGTCCCCTTGGAGAGTCAAAAATTCGCCCCTATCCACAACCTTCCCCGTCCTCAATGGAGGAGTGTACGGCGTATCCTGCGGAGGCCTGTGGAGGGTGCCGGTCCCTTTGGAGAGTTAAAGATTCGCCCCTATCCACAACCTTCCCCGTCCTCAATGGAGGAGTGTACGGCGTATCCTGCGGAGGCCTGAGGAGGGTGCCGATCCCATTGGAGAGTCAAAAATTCGCCCCTATCCACAACCTTCCCCGTCCTCAATGGAGGAGTGTACGGCGTATCCTGCGGAGGCCTGTGGAGGGTGCCGATCCCATTGGAGAGTCAAAAATTCGCCCCTATCCACAACCTTCCCCGTCCTCAATGGAGGAGTGTACCGCGTATCCTGCGGAGGCCTGAGGAGGGTGCCGATCCCATTGGAGAGTCAAAAATTCGCCCCTATCCACAACCTTCCCCG